ATCCCGGATTCGCAAAGAGCGAGAAATTCTACAGATAAGATGTTATGTGTGGGGTGCGGTTAACCTCCCCCCCCCCGCCCCCCCGCGTAAGGTCATGTAGTGGTCAAAATTATTATTTTCTTCATCTATGCACAGGGATGATCGGGCGTGGGTAAGATTAATTGTAATAACCCAATAACTTGCTGGTAATATCTTGCCTCTCCAACCTAATAACTGGACGGTAATATCTTGCTGCAGCACGATATCGGCCTTGACCGTCAAAATTACCCAGGGAGGCTTCGGTACTCAAACCACGTGAGAATCCGAATCATTGAACGAAGAGAAAGACGTCGACCACGAACTTGGTTATTTGGTTATTGGGATTGGTTTATTGGGTTATTGGGTTATTTGAGTTTTTGGGTTATTACAATTAATGTTATCTTTGCCTGATCATCCCTGTGCATAGATGAAGAAAATAATAAATTTGACCTCTACATGACCTTACGTGGGACCCCTCACCTTATCTAAACGTAGAATTCTTCGCTCTTTCCGAATCTGGGGTCATAATTATAGGTTCCTATTCAAAAAATGACTTTGTCCTTTAAATGACCTTCAAAATAAATCTTAAGGTCAAATCTGATTCCTAGAAAAGGCGCACCTCATTGTCCCAAACAACTTTTGTCTGAATAATTTTGTTGTAGAATGCCAAGCGTAGAAAATTTCGGGGTGGTTCCTTTAAAATGGGTCACCCTGTATTAAACCATCTTCGGTAGATAAGACATGCACGCACACACACACACACACACGCGCGCGCACTTTGAACAGCAAAAAGTAATTCATGATATACCAATTATAATAAATATATACGTATAATATTTATTATAAATAGTATATTTATTAAATTTATTATGATAAAAAAAGAAATTCATTATATACTAATTACAATAAATATATATATAACAGCATTATTTTTATTTGTATATATTAGTGCTTGAGCCCTCCCTATATCAATCGTGTAGCCAATATATCCCCAAGGTAGCTGGCGCGTAAGCGCCTTGCTGCCCCCTTGTTTTTTTTCTTTTATTTTGTTTAACGTCGCTCTAATTATACTCCATCAGTGCTAATCAGCAACGGAGGATTGCAATGTGTTTAAGAACAAAGCACATGAAACTTTTTACAGTGGTGTACAGTTTGTACAGTGGTCATATCAATTAGCAAGGTTTGGGAATCAAACCCGAGAGAGAGAGAGAGACAGACAGACAGAGACAGAGAGACAGAGAGAGAAAGAGAGAGAGAGAGAGAGGGATGCGTGACCTTATAGATAGGCCGAAGAAGGTGTGCTACTACTAGGAGATCTGTTTCTTCTCTCTTGAAGTTCATCATCCCCAGGTAGTGTTGCTGCAGCAGATCGGCCAAATCACATAACCTCGAATTTGTCCATATCACACCAAAGCAAGACACTCTGTCAGGGCAGATTCTAAGGCAGCTCAACTGTGCTTCTCTAGCTGATTGATATACGAGGGTGATCCGATAAGTACTTAGCCTACAAAAGAAAAACGAAAATTTTGGAAAAGTGGCGTTTTATTTTTCAACATAGTCTCCTTTTAGTTCGATACACTTGGCCCAGCGATGCTCCAACTTCTTTAACCCGTCTGAAAAATACGTTTCCTCGATGTCTGAAAAGTAAGCTTCCGTGGCAGCGATTACCTCCTCATTCGACTCTAATTTCTGCCCAGCGAGTGACTTTTTCAAGTTTGGAAACAAAAAGAAGTCGCACGGGGCTAAATCTGGAGAATATGGTGGATGGGGCAGCAGTTCGTAGCCTAATTCGACCAATTTGGCCATGGCGACGGCGGAGGTGTGAGCCGGTGCGTTGTCATGGTGGAAGAGCACTTTTTTCTTCGCCAAATGGGGCCGTTTTTTCTGCAATTCGACTTCGAATCGGCCCAATAATTCGGCATAGTATAGCCCTGTGATCGTTTTGCCCCTCTCCAGGTAGTCGATGTAGATCACACCTTGTGAATCCCAGAAAACGGTGGCCATCACCTTTCCGGCCGATGGGGCAGTCTTCGCCTTCTTCGGAGCACTTTCGCCGGGTAAAGTCCACTGTTTCGACTGTTCCTTGGTCTCTGGTGTATACCAGTGGATCCATGTTTCGTCGACTGTCACGAAACGACGCAGAAACTCCTTCGGATTGCGTTCAAACAGCGTCAGACATTGCTCTGAAGTTGTCTCAAGGTTGCGCTTGTTGTCGGGAGTGAGCAAACGCGGCACCCATCTCACCGACAGCTTTCTCGTACCCAAAATTTCATGCAGGACATGACCCACGCGGTCTTTTGAGATGCCTATGATCTTAGCTATCTCGCGCACCTTCAATCGTCGATCTGCCAATACAAGATCGTGAATTTTTGTTACGTTATCCTTCGTGGTAGCCGTTTTCGGAGCACCTGGACGTGGCTCTTCATAAATCGACGTGCGACCACGTTGAAACTCGTTAAACCAATTTTTGACGGTCGCCATCGAAGGAGAAGAGTCACCGCACACAGCGTCCAAGCGCTTTTTGATTTCGCTGCGCGATTTCCCTTCCAAAAACAAGAATCGAATCACCGTCCGATACTGCTCTTTTTCCATTTTTCAAAAATCAACGGACACACTTGTTTTCACACGCTCTCAAAAATAAACTACAACTCCGATCCGGCTGAAATCTTGACAGTAACCATCGAGAAGGTTGTACTACGTGATAGAATATTTTTTTTGCGAGAGTGGCGCCATCGGGCGGTGAGGCTAAGTACTTATCGGACCACCCTCGTACTTTCTGATTCTCTTCCAAGCCTCTGTCTCTACTAGCTCTCACAGACTTCTTTACTAAGTTATTCGCTGGTTATTACTGACTGCCTGTCTGCCACGGGCTTCTCGCGGTCACCCGCTTTGCTCTTCCATATTTCAACTTAACCTTATTTCTTGGAGGTATGCAGCGCAGCGCTTATCAGTCACGCACCGCACGCCTGTCCTGACCTCTCAAAAGTGCATACGTTGTCTCTCTCTCTTTACTTTTCTCTCTTTCTCTGCGCTCCTCATCTTCGGACCGGCGCAGTCCCGCTCGTCAATCCTCGGCAGCTGAAACCAAAGGCCAAAGGTTAGGCGCATCCGAATATGCGCCTATCACTGGCCATCATGCCTCGCCGAGAGGGAGAGAGGCAGACGAAGAGTACGCATATTGGTCGTCCCCGTCACAAATACGGACCATAATTCGAACGTGAGATCATTACAAAAGAAAAATCTACCAATGCTGACCATATCAAATAGCGAAATAAATTGAAAAACAATGTAGTGACAGTAATAATTCGACGTATTATGATCTATAGATGTACGTGATCGCTAAGACTCTATGCGTATTAAAAAAAGACAGGCAGCGAGAGTAAAATAATCGACATAGTTAGCTCAAGAAATTTAAAAATTTTGACGAAATATGCTGATGACGTCACGACCAATAGATGAATTAATAGAACTTGTAATTTCGATCTGTACGGAGATATAGATAAGAGTAGGGGGGATCTGTCTCGTCAGTTAAACCTGACCGTTCAAGTGGAGGGTGAGAGAGAGTAAATAGTGAGACTGTAGATGACCACCGAAAGACACTGCCCATTTCTGAATTTATACATCGACCGATTAACATAACTGACTTCTCAGAAGAAGAGGAGGGCGACGATCTTCTTTCGAGGAAAGACGCCGCTCGTCCATTTTACCACTAGACATGCTACCGCAAAGTTGTAGAAATTTGCTAAATTTTAGAAGACGAAGTTACCACGAACTCAAGTAAGTAGATAAAGTGCCGCTTGCCGCCATGGATTAAGTGTGATGAAGTGCATAATTTGTCACGCATTTGATTTGCCGTGACGCGTAAGCCCGTCGCCATTGTACACCGAATGTTCGACTAAACTGTGCTGACCATCCGCCATTGCCGAGCGTATTTCAGACTTTGATAACACAGATAAGTGAAGAGTATCCGTTATTTTCGCCTCGGTGACCGATTTCCTCTTGCATGCTGATTTTTATTTTTAGCTGAGGACGGACTTATAGACGGACGGCGGAGAACTATTTAAATTCCCATACGTAAGTAACCGTATTCCATCGGACCCCTAACTCGCAAGAAAAAATTGCTACCCTTGTTATTCAGCATTTCAACAACAATAAAAAAGCATTAGGAAGGACGACCATTGCTCGGTGAACAACATCGGAGCCGTCTCGAGGAGTAGAAAAGGCAAAAAATTGAAATTAAAATTTTGCCCACTCGGCGCAGTTGCACTATGGGCAAAGTCGACTGCGCCGACTCCGACTCGAATCCTCGACGATCATATCCTGGACCGGTGGTCTGGCGCCCCTTTAAATCTAGTTAAGGGAACGAATCACCCGAGCCCCTGTGGCGAAGAGATTTCGTGCGCACGTTATAAACCCTTGAAACCTCTTTCTCCATAGTGTATTTAAATTTTTTTCTATGATGAGTTTTTCCATCGATTTACTATTATTAAACAATGAAAGATGAAAACTCTTATTTCAATAAAATTTATTCGTAAGGACTTTACCTTATAAATTTCAACAGTCTCCATCCTTCGTAGACACAATCAAATTACAATATCTATGCATTAATTAAGTTCGACATAAAAATTTATTATGAAATAAAGATAGCATACCAGTTTTACGTTTTTTAATAATGTGTGTAGGAGGTATCTTGATTACATGTATGCAAACATAATCCGAAATTAATTTTATAAAAAGATACTACTTTTGGTTTAGCAGTATGAGTTATCTAATTTCATTTCCAAAGTTGCGTTCAGTGATCTTCGAAGTTATTGTATACCAATTACAATTAAATTCCATTGAGATATATAACAGATATTCAAATATTTATATATTTGTGTATAACATTATATTTACACGTAATCTATTGCCAGTCAAAGATGTATTTCAAATAAGAGTAAAGACAAGGGAAAAAACTTATTCATATTCTTCCAATTTTTAAGCCAGATACCTCTAATCCATTGGTAACAATGTACGTTGCTGATTTGGCGGACTTAAAGAGTATACAAACAAAAGTAGTGAGACCACCTTCGATCATTGAAAATGTGTAAGTTTTGTGCATGAATTTGATGATAATATAGTTATACAGAAAAGCATGTTATATTATTTTAGCTTTAATATGTATTAATATAATTATTGCATAACAATAATTTTCATGAATATTAAAGAATATAAATCTGATTAAAAAAACATTTTTCTGTTATCAAGCATATGACCTCTGTTCAATTGATACCATAAATATTAAAGTCCAAGGACTTCCATGAAATACCAATATTTTTGTTTAAATCACATTGCCTATAAAATTTGGTTGGTCGTCAAAGACAAAGTGACACATTTTTGGTGGAGTCATAGTAATACAGGTAATACAGGTAATTTAAACTCAGATGGGGTTTGCCCAGCAATAACTGAAGTGGGCCCCTATCAGACGTGCCGCCAGAATCAGAACAAGACCCAACATCAGAAATATGCGAAGACGATATTGGCGGAAATTCATGAAGTACCATCGACCGAGAAACCAGGAGTACCTCCGGCAAAATTGATGTGGATATTAAGGAACCCGCAAGCCCTATTGAACCAGTCATCTCAGATGCCTCGAATTGGGGACTTGGCGTAGAAAGTCATCAAATATATGCGCCAACAAGAGTAAGGTTTTCGTATACCAGAGACCAGCAAAAAATGGACCGTGTTTATGGTCGATAATGGATCAGCTATGAACCTTATTAAGTTTAGTACATTAAATTGGACCATGAGGTTTGATCCTAGGGAAGTTACTACTTTCAGTGGCATTACGGCTCACACCGTTCCAATCATAGGTACGGTGATAGTGACTATAAATGGAAAGATTGCAAAATTTCACATAGTATGGAATAATTTTCATATCGAAGAGAACGGAATGTTAGGGAAAGATTACCTAATTGATACAAATGCTGTAATTTCATATCATCATAGTAGCCTAATGGTAAATGGCGATGTAATGAACCCGCTATTAGTTTTACCGAATGATGTCCCTATTAACTGATTACAAGACGATCTGATACAGACTATGAGTATCAGAGCTCGTGAGGATGATGTATCGGATACTGAAACTGCAACGAACCTAGACCGAGGAATAGAACAACTCGCTTGTGAAAGAAATGCGAGTAGTAAGACTACAGATAGCGAAAAAGGACTACTGGTCGGCACATTAAGATACACCTTAGCGCCGAGGACTCGTTAGGTCATACAGATTAACCAGGTGAAGAGTTCACTCGCGGAAGGGTATTTACCTAGTATAAATGTGGCCGACGATAAAGTCTTCCTTGGAGAAGGTATAGTTATCAATGATCATGAGACCTGTAAGATTATGGCTATCAACACCTATGATGAGGTGAAAGTAACGATAGAAGTGGACCCGAAGGAAATTATTTCATTCGAATATTATAAATCGGAATTGTTTAGCGACATAAATTCAGACCAGAAATGTAGCCTTTAGAAACCAGCACAGGCTATTGATCAATCCAAGAAACAACGTGATCAATTGTTGCAGTTGATAAAGACAAGACACCTTAGCTCGAATGATCTCAAGAGTGTTAAACGTTTATTGAAAAGATATCCGAATATGTTTCTACTTCCTGGAGAACCCTTACCGTGTAATAATTTAATAGAACACGAAATACACTTGGAGAATAGAGTACCATTCAATACCAAGCAATATAGGCATCCACCCGTGCACCGGAAATTTATATCGGACCAAATCAAGAAACGTCTAAGGGAAGGAATAATCAAAGAGTCTAACTTACCCTATAATTCACCGCTCTGGATTGTTCCTGAAAGCCCCGCGGGCGATGGCACACCGAGATGGAGGATGGTTGTTGACTTTAGGGAATTAAATAAAAACACAATTGGTGATGCCTACCCTTTGCTTAATATTGTTGATATTCTAGATCAGTTGGAAGGTCCGATGTACTTTTCGACGTTCGATTTAATTAGTGGATTTCAATAAATTCCCTAAAGGGTTAAGGACAGAGAAAATACGGCATTCTCGACCTTTGATGGACACTTTCAATATATCAGAATGACGGAAGGACTAATGAATGCGCCAGCAACCTTTCAACGAATGATGAATGCCTTGCCGCGAGGACTATTAAATGTAGAAATGCTAGTGTACCTGGATGACGTGATAGTTTACGCTAAAAATTTACATGATCATGAAGTTAAGGTAGGAAAATTATTCGAAAGACTTTCTAACTCAGGGTTAGTCTTACAACCGGACAAGCTAAATTTCGTACGTCGAGACGTAAAATTCTTGGGACATATTGTCAGTGCTCGAGGAGTCGATTTATTTATTTATTTAGGAGTCGAAAGAAATTTCCAACGCCCAAGGAAGTAAAAAGAGCCAGGTCTTTTTTTGGACACTCCGGATATTACCGACGCTTTATTCAAGACTACTCGAAGATAACCAAGCCCCTTAGGGATTTAACAAAGAAGGACCAAGCATATAACTGAGGACCGCCGCAAGAAGAAGCTTTTTAAAAGCTCGAGCAGATGCTTTGTGAGGCCCCTATTCTAGCTTTCCCTGAGTTTTATATACGATGAATCAGTTTAGACCCTATCTCTTATGCAAGAAGTTTACTCTGATTGCTGACCATGAGCCATTTTATGCATAATCGCAAGGACCCAGGACAAAAGCTTATGAACTGGATGTTTAAGTTCACAGATTAACAATGCACATTAAAGTATAAACCCGGAAAATTAAACTGCAATGCAGACACACTGTCCAGGAATCCAATTAATTTACAGGAATGTTTAGATGAAAAGATTCAGAAAGAGAAAGAGCTGAACGAAAATATTCCCAAAATTCAGGTAATGATGTTAAGACATAAAACTGAAGAAAAGGAAACGGATGAAAAACCAACGCTAGGAGAACAGTATTCAACTAGTAAGCGTAAGAGGGCTCATATGATCTTGAATAAGCCAAGGCCGAAAGGAAGACCTGTCGAGGGCAAAACAATTAAGGAAAAGCCGAATTTAGATCATAGTACTATCGCTGAAAGGACCAGTAGTAAGAAATCTGTGATAACGACAGACAATACCTTCCAACTACCGAATGAACCCAGACCCGGCACTTCTGGACTTGAATCGGAAGTCAGGAAAGGGACCAAGATGAACGAAGATAAACCCTTACCCAAGCGACTGAAAGTGTTGCGAAAGACTACGTCGGATGCTACGACAGATGACTCCGGATTGAAACCTAGTAAATCGGACAAAGAAGCCCCGCCTAAAGCTAAAAGGTAGGAGGAAGTATCGCCGACTGATGAATCTGCCGTCGAAGTTGCCATGAAAGACGTTCATAACAACAAGTTTGCTAAAGACTCGTCTTTTGGGCAATATATTCCGAGTGGTCGACACAAATGAGTGCAAGACATCTTAGATCGATTGGAGAGGGAAAGCATGTATGTCAGTGTTTCGGACTCGGATAGCTAGATTGGCGTAAAACGAGCAAGTTCCTCTCGGTGATCCTTATTATCCTCAACTAGAATGGAGGATAAAAATTTGAAAAACGTTCAACATAGTACAGATGACAGAGTTCCAATAGAGGACACGCGACGTAGTGGGCTAAGAAAAGGGACCGAAACGGAACCAGGAGAGAACTCAAGTGATGAGGTTCAGAGAGATAAATAAGAATCTACTGAACAAACGGAGTTAGAAGTTAGTGGACCTCAAACTAGTAGGAGTTTCGGAGAAGATGATGTGTTAGCAGGAAACGAAACTGTAACTAAAAGATGTGAGGAACGAGCTCCGGCACAGGAGACTAGTTTATCGACGAATGAAGTGTGGAAATCGGCAGAAAAATTCGAAGCCAGTTATGACGGCATAAGAGTTTGGATAATGAGATATACCATTGGGATGACATTGCCCTTGTACGAGACAATCGAACTATAGAAATACTTTCTCATTTCTCAGATGGGGACGAGCCCCCGCCAGAACTACAAGAGACACTATGGAACCTTGATCCATATGATGAAATAAACGATTCTAATGAAGTAATGCCGAATAGAATAGTAATAACGAAGTTAGTAGAAGATTCGCAAAAATTGATGGAAACCCATCTACAGCACGGCGGTGATTCGGACACAGACCGATTGGATGAATATGAAAACCAACATCGCTCAGACATGACTGAAGGAGTAAGTCCAGAGAGAAGTAAGGAAGTCAAAGAAGCTTTAAGGCAGTCACGATATCGAGAGATATCAGTAATCCCGACTATTAAAACAGGAATACTTGGGGCAGAAGTACCCCCAAAGTGCCGATAAAATTTTTTATACATCGAGGCGGTGGATAATTGAAATTTTGCATATCTCTGTTATTAACAAATATGTCAGCTGTTTTAAATGTATAAGAATTCAAGAAGAAGAAAAATCATAATAAAAAATTTTCTGAAAGTATTAAAAAACTCTTTTGTATTAGTATCTTATCATTTGTATAGCTGCTGATATTCAAGAGAATTATACAAATATTTCTCTTATTTATGAAAAGTTGAATTTCATTTAAAGAATGGTGCTACTCTTGCAGTTGACTTGAAAATTATTAATACGATTTTTGGTTAATGTCACGTGCATCCGCTTATTTATGGCCGTATTGTGACGCTTGCTCAACTATTTTGCTTAATGTCGATGATTGAAGATCTTTAATAAGTGTGAAAAAAATTACAAAGAATGGTTGTCATCGAAAAGCTGTTCAAGAAAAAATGCTCAAAACTTTAAAAGCTGTGTGAATTCACCATTGCTGCCACTTATGAATAAGAAAATTCTGTTTCATATTACCTCTTCAATTACATCTTTTATTAGGAGCAATGAATGTAAATTCTTTGTAAAATGTCAGCGGAATTTGAAAGTATTGCTTTGGCATGAGCTAATAAATGTAATATAACTAGAGCTTGTACTTGTAAAAATGCCTTCATGGGAAATAACTGTACTAAACAATTAAATTTAGTTGATATTTTGGATTCAATCAAGTACTTAGGCGTCTTTAAATATGTTACAGTATTAAGAAAGATAAAAAAAGTTG